TAATAAAAAACGAAAACTTTTGCTGAATACCGGTAATACAAAATACTTAATAAGTACATAGAGTGTATGCACCCAACTATATACCACATGCCGCCCACCAACACGTATCACGAGCAACTTAACTGCTTACCCAGTAGTTAGCATGAAGCAAAGTGCCAACTTCTTTTGAATAGCAGCTAACTTTGTGAATACCGGAAATTTTCTTAACATTTTGACATTTACTACACCCAACAGGCCGGCAAAGAGAGATTGTGTGTGCGCTGCAAAACTTCTGTGGCACAACTTGAAGCCTAGCCAAGCGACCACACGCCACTGCAAGCGCCACAATGCCAACCACAAAAGCTTTGCGCTAAGAAATGCCTCACTAATAACTTTCTTCGTATTACATATGCAGAGCTTTAAGAGTTGCGCACATACATACATATATAAACACATATATATGTACTTTATATGTTTCCTTTTAACTCGCTGTGTCTGTCTGCCTTTGTGCTGTGTTATAACAACTTTTCATGACTTCCGTCTCAACTTGCACGCTCACTCATAAACTGTGAATAATTTGCCGATGTCGGTATGCCGGTGAATGGCAAGCGTATAGCCGCAACGCCGGCAAAACGGTGAAGAGGAAAACTTTGCATTTCATCACCAAGCCGTAAGTTGCATAAACAAATTAATGATGTTGCACGGCAAACTTCTCGCCGTCACGAGAATGGTGGTTTGCGCCAGCACACCGCAGCTTTATTGGTCTGCGCCTTCTTTATCGCAATTTACTGCTGTCTTTATTTCGCTTTCCGCTTACGCTGAAAAGCCGATACAACGCCACAGTCATTACTTGTAGCTGCAGCGCCGGCAAGTATGCTATAATTACTTGTTTTTCGCGCAAAGAAGGCAAAGATAATGAAAAATAGCACCAGCAACTTGCCACATTCATGTTGCACACCAACTTTTCTGCGTCTGTTTCCTACTTCCTTTTCACTTTAACAGACAAAAAAATATTTAAAAGGTAAAACTGAAAAAAATAAGTAAAACAAAAAAAGATATAAAAGAATAATAAAAAAGAGTATAAATATAGCACCACAACTTCTTCAAGCGATTTCATGTTTGTTCTTACATTTTGCCCATCAAAGACGTGAGAAAACCGCAGGCAGGGGCGCACAAACGGTGGCAGCGCTTGTTTTTAATTATCTGTCCGTGTTGCACGCAACGTCGGCATAGTACGTTAACCGCAATACAGCAATTGTGACGGCTTTCATGGCAAGAGTATTGCATGCGCATGGATTTGTATGCGCTCAAATAGAGCTTGGCATACTTATAGGCGCGAATTGTAACAAATTTTATTACCACCGGCGTTAATTTGTTTTTTTAGCTGTTGTTGTTGTTGTGCCATATTCTCGCAATAACAGCGTAAATTGTATTAATACCAGCACATCAACTGCATGCATAAACACATACATATATAATTATAATACTGTGAATTATACATATAGGCGCTCGTGTGTTTGCTTGCCACATTAACAATTCGCGCATTGAATTGCATAATTAAAATACACAAGTAATTGTTGTCGCGCAGTTTACCATGAAAATTGTTTTTTTGCGGTTGCCACAACTGCAAGTGCGCTTTGTATCGTGTGTAGCATCCAACAGCATGCTACATGCATGACAATGATGCAGCAAATGGTGTTGATGAATATGAAATGGCAAAGAGTCGGCATTTAAATGTGTGGGCGTGAATTACAATATGCGTTGACACGTTCATCCGCCATAACTGCATTTACACATTGGCTGTTGTGGCGCCTAAATTATTCAGGTTCTATATTATGCATATTTGAACCGCAAGCCAACAAACCGAAATAAAAATACGTACTTTGTTTAACGCCTACAATATTATAACATTGTCATAAAGAGTGTTGAAAAGAAATTTCTTAAATTATGCAGCATATTTTAAGGCGCTGTAACGAATTTATACAGCGCGCAGCGCAAATATACATCTTTTTCTATGAGGTTGTAAGCGCCGCTACACATAATTCATGCTTTCCACGCCATTGACTTTCGGTGACTTGGCATTTTCATTTATTTCAGCGCTTTTCCTCTCTATCGGTTTTTGAATATTGAGTGAGTGAAGTAACATTAAGGTGAGATTTTGGTTTTTATTGCTTTCTTCGCTTTTTATTTTCACACCCCAAAAAGTTGTGCCTTGTGCGCTATCTCTTGTAATTTCCTGTCAACCTTGCTCGGCTTGCTTAGTAAAGCGAATTATTTTCATATTGATAAGTAAACAGCGCAGTTGGCAAACGAATCAGCGTTCGGGACGTTCGAGCAAACGCAGCCACTGAAGCGTAAATGCGCTTAAGTGACAGCAGACACTAAACGAAAAGTACAACAGTTTTAAAGAGAGTCTTACACGGCATCAGCTTCATAGAAAATCGCCTGTTTGTTTATGAGTTGCAATGCCTGTCTATTTGCAACAATTTTTGTTCGTTTGCTGCCGCGCCTAAATGCATGCCAAGCAGCAAACTCAATCATCTATATTTGTTCGGATCATTGGCTTAGGTAGCAAGCTGTGCATGATTTATGTTGCATACTCATGGTATCCATTTGGTTTTGAGCCTTTCGCTATTAAAATACAAAATAATGTTTTTTGCTAAGGTGTTATAAATCATGCGCCTAATAATATGTAACGCTTATGGTTTTTCTTTTTTTTTATTGTTTTACTACTATAATTTAACAGGTTTTTCAGAAAGTTGGAAGCTTTATGATTTGAGTCTCTATAACCGAAAAAAATACTATTTGTTTGCTTGAAATCTGAAACCGTGGAATAAACTGCACAAATCGAAACTCAGCGGCAACGCTGTATGACATAATTTGTAATATATACCGTCAATATTTAATGTTATAGTGTACTTTTTAGGGACTAGCAATTATTTAATAATTAAAACTATAAAATTAATTACTTGAGCTTCTATAGTGGCAACCCTGAGCAAAATTTGCTATAAATGCTTCAAAATAAATCACTGATCATATTAGTATACATTTATTTTACCATGGGCAATATTAAACTTAGTTTAGACTTGATTGCACTTTTTTTTTTAATTATAATTGTTCAATATTTTATTAAATTTATCTTAAAATTAGAAGAAAACTTTAAAACTAGTTTATATATACTAACTTTTATTTTTTACTTTCCTTCGTAATATCTTTTTCCTTGTCTTTTTTTACGAGGTATCAACCCTGTATAAAAAATATGCGAGGAATATTTGCTACTTCCTCGGCTTGAGTTAGTTTATTCGAAAAATTACATTAGTCTAATTTGACATGAAATAAATTTCAAAACCAAAATATATGGCAGCTCTATGTGGGTGTGTGCTTATGAATATATTAGCTCCAACATAGTTCTACATTTTTTAAGAAATAATTCGAATAGTGGTAACCCTTCTAAGAAATAAATTTCCATATTTTCGCTTTAAACAACGGCTAAACTTAAATAATTTACGTGTTTGGTCGAAACATCTCAATTTTTTAATTTCAAAATTATACTGGCATACAATGAGATTGCAACTCTGTTTTTAACTAACTAGCAATTTATGATTTAAAGAAAATTGTAGAAAAGTCTAAGCTTAATATGATTATTTGTGTAAAAAAGATGCGTATGCGGGCACCGTCAACTGACACGTTAGAGTTGCTTTAGATAACTTGACGCTGTCATGAGTGTATATGTCTATTAATTGTGAAATAATATGAACAATGGAACTTGTCGAAACCAATTAAATTTGGAGTGTTAAAACAATGTTTTACTTGTCAAAACTGATTACTAGTTTAAAACTGGTTCCTCAAAAACTAGTTTAGCAACACTGCAATGTATTACACAGTATGATCTGAGGAAAAATTTAACGTAATTGAAATATTGAAGTCAAACATTAAAATTGATTTATTGACTATCAATAAAAATGTATCGAACTAAAGCATTATATAACTTACCCTATAGAAAACTAACATCCTGCAAGTACTTATATATTAATTAATAAAATTAAAAAAATATTCACATACATATATTCGTCAATAATTCACATATTTGCCATTTGCAGTCATAATTTATTAAATAATTGCAAAAAACCTACATGAATATTAACCAATACTTTTATTTGTTGAAAATATATTAACAACGCCAAAAAGCAGGCAAATACTTTTTATTTCTTGAAACCATATAATGAATGCCAACAAGTGGGCAAATATTTTTTTACATTTCATATAAAAAACTAATTTGTATAGGCTTTTTAGTTTCTTTGCGTAATAATTGCCAACTATATATTAAAAATTTATATAAATAATGCAACTTATACTGTTCGGCGCCATACAACATGCAATTAAAGGCTTTATATACCAGCAAATAATTTTAAATAATTGATATTGAAGGAAGGCATGACAATAATTTTAAAATAGCATGAAAGGCATCAAACACAGTAACTGAGCTCTACTGTTAAATCGATTCATAATAGAAAAACACTAATTGAAATCAATATCATTGCTTGTTATATTTTCTAAAAAAAACCACGTTGACCTACATAAACATTAAACTTTTCACCATTCTACCTATATAAATTCCTCGCAACAATGCAAACTTTGAAACAAATTTACAAAAATTTGCATTTTGTATACACCTTGACATAAGTTAGCGCCAGCGCTGTTGCACAAACCTAAAAGTATGCTCGGAAAATTTTGAAATGCATTGTCTGGCGTCTTAACAAGGGACAATTTCTTTAAAGTGCCATCAAAATAGGTTTGTTGTGCAAAAGGCTTCTAAAGTTTTCTACCTCCGAGCTATGCGTCTAAACACTTGATTAATCTAAAAAATTTCCGTCATTGGATTGTTGAAACTTGCGACATGGCAAAGCAGAATTTTGTTGCGAGACATTTCTACTTTGTTGCACATACCTATATATGTATATAAGTCTGTATATAAGTTGTTCGTATTTATTTTAATTGCAAAACTTTTCTCCTCTTTGCAGAAGACTGTTAAACCATCACCAATATTGCCGTTGTCATCATCAGCGAGTCTCTCAGCAACGCCTAAGGACGAAATTTACATTGACGATGAGAGTATTGAGGGATCTGGCGGTCGTGGCGGGGTAAGTTGTGCAAATAACTAGTATTTTTTCTTATTTCTTACCTGCTTTTTAAAGAGATGTGGATAAAATTGGAAAAAGTCACGAAAATCGTGTAGGTTGTCCCAAAGTATGCATTATGTCGAGAAAATTAAGCTATCTTTCGAATAATATTTCAGTAGAAAAAAATTAATAAAATTACAAATATTGTTATGTAGTGTTGTTTAAAATAATTCTACAATCTATGTGCAGCCCTATAAAATTTAATTGCGAAACTTAAGTAAAGCTGTTTTTATAACTGAAACCGACACCTAAAAGTATGCCTCCCAGAAGAAAAATTTAATAGGTAAAATATTTAGGTGTAAAACAAATTTTCATTAAAAATTATTGATTACTAATGCATTGCATATTACTCATAGCCATGCATTTTTTTTACATATAAGTTTTGCTACCTGAAAGTATACAGTATATTTCCACAAATGCTCCTATTGTTTCAACGATTATCGCAAACAAATGAAAAACATTAAATTATAAATTAAAGGAACAGTTTAGTACATTTAAACACTACTTCGTCTTCTCAATGATCAAAATCCTTTGTTGAACATATTTCTGACTGCCTAGAGATAGGCTTTAACGAAAATAGATCATAGTTATGTTATAATATTTTTATCTTCAGTTGAATATTATCTTTTTGCACTCAATTTTATAATAGATGCTTCGCAATAACCGAGCATAGAACTCTGCAGTTGAACTCCAAAAATTCAAACTTCAAGTACGGCGACAACAGGTGTATTAATAGCATATAAACATGTACCCATTTTCATAAAAGTATATGTATATGTAAAAAATTTAGCTTTACTCTGTCCGTAAAACCACATCTTAAGTACTATGTACACAGTTTTGTTCACTCATTCTCTTATTTAACTTAACTTCAATTGATATTTATTTGTCAGCCAAAAGGTATACTACACTACATTTGAAAAATATGTAAAAATTTAAATTGCGACTGGAAGCTTGGCAGTTCGGTGTTCAAGATGTACGCTGGTACTCAACTTCAACATACTCAACCTTCTTTTACTTTCTCTTATGCATTTGTTGTATACTTTAGTGCATGCTTGCTTGCATAATATATGACTATGTTAGATACGTGTGTCTTTCAAAGTATTGTGCGTGCTCGCATATCCCACAAAATGCAGTTTTTGTCTTGCATGCGAGATATGCTAAATATTCAGATGTCGTGTTGGGAAATGTTGCAATATTTCAAAAATTACAACTTCAGTCTCATGAAAACTCACTTAAATTACGCTCACTGGAACAGTTACATGACAAAATATGTACAAATTATTTAATGTTCAGCCTGCTAATAACATCCAAATGCGATAAAGTCAATTAAACGTGTTGAATTGGTGGAAATGTGAGCATATCGGTTAAATAAGGGCATAACTTTTGAAGTAGCGACTTACGATAGAGAGTAATTAATAATAATAAAAAGTCTTCACAGCAGCAGCAATTATGGATTTTGAAAAAGTTTCATGGAAACTTTCAATTGTTTTCCACATAAAGTTTTATGTTCCGAATAAAAAATTGTTTAATACTCCGTTATTTCAGCACTTAATTGCGAAATCCTAAATTCCATTGCATAACTCCGGGCGCTAGCGCCTACGAATTAAAACAACTATCACATATTTATTTCTTTGTCAACGCATTAGCAACGCATTAGCAACGCAATGCTCATTACTACACACAATTTTTAACTGCCTGAAACTTAACGGTCCACAAAGCACGATTTTATGCACTGCCAATTGCAGGGGGATGCCTCTCTATCGTCATCATCACTTCACACACCTTTTACTCTTTATCGTTTTATTGCCTGTTTCTTTGCTTTCGCTATTTTATTGCTCGCTTTTACGCCTTTCTATCTTTCATTGTTTTAACTTTTGCTCCCATCGGCATCATTCACTGCACGGCAATCACAATTTAACTAGACCATGTGCCAGTTTCCTCCTGCAACATCCTGAGATAATTTTTAATGGCCCACCAACTGGTGGCCAGTGCAGAGAATCACTCTTGTGTATCAGACATGCTGTTGCCAGTGTTTGGCGAGGCACTTTCAATGTGCGCGAGTGCACTCAAGTGTGCGCTAGGTGGCTAAGAGGAGAGTCGGGGATTAGAGTATCCGTTGTAAAGATTTCATTGCTGAGTTATTGGCTGTGGGCCAATGAAGCTGGACTTAAATACACTACTTGTACTCGCTTTAAAGTTTAGATTACAGAGAAATAAAGACATGGTTGTTTTCTGTGCCTGAATTTATTTGCAAAACAGAATTACATTTATGCCAAATTTTTTGTTTAAAAATATTTTAAAGATTTCTGAGTTTTTAGAAATGTAAGGGTGGTTTTATATTCTAAACTGAGCACTTTCAGGGTGTGGTGATTATTGGTCGAACGCACCTCACTTCCTATGGAATATAATAGAACAGCTTAAGTCGACTTAATTGATGTAATTAATTTCTAACGAACGTATTCGAGACTCGATTTCGGAGTTTATTTGTAACAATCTATTAATATATGAATTCACCACATACTGTGCGGCTTTTACGAAAATATTTTAAGCAAGCTTAAATTGGCTTAATGAATGTACTAATACGAGTTATTCTGATCAATTAATTTGAGACTCGAAGCTGCACTGTTGGAACACATTCAAACCTATTATAAATATAATTGAATTTTCTCTAGAAGCACTTCCGGCTAAAACGTTAAATATCTAAAACAAGTTTCGTTATATTTTGTTAAGAAAAAAAATATATTTACTCTCTAAAAAGAGTTTTTTATACTAAAACAAAACACTAAAAATCGTACTCCCATCAAAAAAATCAATTTACCACAGATTTAGTTAGTCAGTTCAGTCAATCTCGTTCAAATACAAGCATTCGAAAAATAATAATATATCGAAATGAAAATTCTAACACTCGCAGCGTGCACTACACTCATTAATACCACACAAAGTCCGCTCAAACCTACATAGCTTTATTGCTTCACCACTCGCAGCTCACTGCAATTCAGGCTTTATTTGTCACCATTCGCCAAAACACAAAAACAAAAAAAAAAACGGTTAAAAACAAAAACACAAATACTGCGAAAAAGTAATTTAATTAAATTTCATGTCATGTTTTCCCAACAGACGCGCCAGCAGCAACAGCAAGAACAACGTTTCGGTGCACCACCAGCAACGCTTTGAGTTTGAATTACCGTTATTTTTTTGCTTTTGCTGTTTTTTCCGTTTGTTGTCAGTTCAAAATTAATTTAGTGGCCTCTCGCAACATCAACACGCGCTGTCTGCTGCTCCACATCGGCTGCCACCGGGTGCTGCATGTGCCAAAACATTAAAACATGGAGGGGTGGCAGCTCTAGGCTGTTGACATCGAATATATATACTTATATATAAGATATGTGTATATGTTGATATCTTATCCGCTTGCGTATTATTTCATTAATCATATATGGTACAGTACGGTGTACTACTACATGTCATATAGTCGTAATTACTAAATAATTAAGGTTTTTTCAATAAGGGCTAGTTGGTTTTCAAATGGTTTTAAGCACACTAAGGGAGTGTATGCTAAAATATAGCTTTTGGTATTTGGAAGTTGAGAACATCAGCCTTTAGTAGATTGTAATGAATCATTATTTCTTGAATTTTATATTGAGTATCAGTTGTTTTGTTTTTTTTCAAAGCAAGGCAGTTTTCAATACTGTAGCATTTAGCTGTCATACAAACTGACTGCCACACTAAAAGCAAGTTCTTGTGTGGAAATTTTTATTTGTGAATGTTATGACAGCTTCGGTGCAGCCGAAATTAACGTTTTTGCTTGTTTTTGCAGTTTTCTTACAGTTTTATTATATATATATTATTTTTTATTTTGTTTAAGTCCTACAGTCAGAGCAGTTAATTTCAATCTATAAAATGAGATATTCTTTCAAGTAGTTGGAAGCAAGATATGAATTTTTCTATCTCATAATAAGAAAAAAATAGAAAAAAAAGACATTCGTTTTTTTGACTCACCCTTATATATATGTACAAGTAATATATTTATATATATATATATTGTGTATATATTGTGTATATATATTATATAGAAATTTGGTTATTAATCTTTTTTTTTCTGAAATTTCATTAACTAAAATTCAGTAAAAACAAAAATTTCCAAAAGTATCAAAATATTTTTGAATATCCTTTTGGCATATGCCATGCCCAGTTGAGGTCAGAAATATGTCAACTACAAAGCCGAGTTACAAAATTATCAAATTTGTCGCTGTATTTTACACAAATGCACATAAATACACATACAAAACAAAGGCATGCACATGAAGCACACTCTGCATGTACGAATTTTACCACTATGAAAATTCCAACAGCTGTCAAAAATTAGTGGGTGGTTGCGCTGCACTCAAATAAAATGACAAACACACCGCTACTCAACTCAATATTCAAAAGTTTCGACTGACAGAGCGTGGTAATAAAATTATGAACTGCTTTATGTAAATATATGTACATATTCGATGTGAGTAAGCGCCTACAAGAGACAGCTGGTTACACGGCTGAAGCATAAACATATTTATATGGGTTACACGGTTATTATGGAGCACATGCAATTTTTATGGCTGATGCGAATTTCCAGTTAAAAAGCGTTGGGAGAAAGCGCTGAACATATATTGAGTTTTAGCTATGATGTTAAATGAGCTTTATGTGTTTACCGATATTTTGGATATATATACACTTTTTAATAAAATTCGTGAGTTTAAATTTAATAGAATTAGAAACAGTTCCAGCAGAACTTAAGGTAGAGCAAAAAGTAAAAAATTCAATTCAAATTAAAATATTGTGAGGAAATGAGTTTTCTTCAGCCTTTATTTGGCGTTTCCAAATTCAGTGGCAACACTTTTTAAAATAAATATATATATTTAGATTATTTAACTTGCAGAATTTTAAAAACACAATTTAACTTACCTAATGGAACTTTTTAC